AAGGAAGCTGTGAACCTGTGGGAAGCCTGCACCGGAGCAGGCTCCTGGCAGGACCTGTGGCCCGTGGAGAGAGAGAAGCCCACGCTGGAGCAGGTTTGCTGCTAGAGACCCCGTGAGTGGGTCTCACACTGGAGCAGTCGGTTCCTGAAGGACTGCATACCATGAGGGAGACCCACGTTGGAGCAGTTCATGAAGAACTGTAGCCCGTGGGAAGGACTCACACTGGAGAAGTCATGGAGGACTTTCTCCCATGAGGGGGACCCCATACAGGAACAGGAGAAGCGTGTGAGGAGTCCTCCCCCTGAGGAGGAAGGAGCGGCAGAAAACAAGAGTGATGAACTGACCACAACCCCCATTCCCTGTTTCCCCCTGTGCTGCTCAGTGGGAGGTGGGAGAAATCGGGATCAAAGTTAAGCCCAGGAAAGAAGGGAGGGGTGGAGGGGAAGGTGTTTTAAGATTTGGGTTTATTTCTTGTTACTCCTCTCTCAGTTAATTGGTAATAAATTACATTTTCCTGAAGTTGAGTCTGTTTTGCCCGTGACGGTAAATGTTGAGTGATCTCCCTGTCCTTATCTCGACCCCACAAGCCTGTTGTTATTTTTTTTTTCCCTCTTCCCTGTCCAGTTGAGGAGGGGGAGTGACAGAGTGGCTTTGGTGGGCACCTGGCATCTGGCCAGGGCCAAACCACCACAGTTTCTGTACACAATGTATGGCTGTTTACAAAGTATTAAGGATCTTGGATCCAACGCTAGCCACATCTTTGTGACAGAATGCATAAGCACGAAGAAAATGGGTCCATGGTCATGGAATTTATTCTACTGGAAGAAATATTTTAAAATAATTATACATTTACATTTATCTCAACAGCAGAAGTAGTTAAAAACTGTAAAAGTGCACAAAGGCTCTGTAAAGCAAACACTAATGTTAACAAATGAACGTAACCATTTCAGAAGAAATTACAAGCAAAATTTATTCAAAATAAAAGACACTATTCTAGGTGGCATTTTCTCTTTTCCATTTCTGTTTCATTCTCAAATAAACCCTTTGGGGTTTTTCCCCTCTGGAAGTGGCAATTTTCTCTAGAACCAGATTGCTTACTAAATTAAATGGTTCTAAAACTGTTATTTTCCAAATAGCAATACTAAAATGAGCGAAAACCTGGCACAGAAGGTTTTGCTGCTGACTTCAGTGAAGTTAAATCTTTCTTTCTGAAGAAAACATCAATTCAACTCATTACAGGATTTAACAGATAGAAACATGTACATGCATGCATACTTTTTATCCTCAAAAATATGTAAAAATGAAAAATACCAAGCCAATAGTCTGTATATTAGGGATATTATCTGAGTCACCAATGAAATACACTAAAGCAAATAAGATAATATTAATGCAACAGAGTATAAATAGAAATTATATTCTGTGGATGGGGCAGAAGCCATAAACTGCTCCAGAGAAATGAGACAGGGATGCCTAGTCATCTCAAGCACAGCAGTTAAGAAAGATCACTATGTAAACGTAATGCCTTCATGCCATTATTGAGATAATTTTTTTAAAGGTACAACACAACTCAGGAACACATCTGTTACTCGCCAAACTCCATCAAAAATTTAATTACATAAAAGAAATAAATTTATTTTAAGAAGTTATATATAGAGAGATATTTTTACAGACATTTAAAGAAATCATGTGAAAAAATACATTTTATGGACAAAAGATAGTTTCTCTTGCACCAATTTTAAGAACAAGCAAGACAGTAACAATAATAAAAAATGAACTAATCTGAAGAAAGCCAAACAGGTAACAGTTCAGATGCAGCTGACTCGGAGAAATTGATGCAACTCAAAACTAGCTCTTGGTCAGCCTGGATTCTAGTGCCACCTGCTGAAATAACAGTCTTTTTCCTCTTGCAGCCATAGTTAATATGCAATTTACATTAATCCACTGCATTAGAGGGCAATACATGAAGAAAGGTCACAAAGAAGATGAGGTGCTTGAGTAATCTAAGTGCACATCCAGAGTGCCATACACTGAACTTAGTAAATTGAGAACCTTCTCTTGAATGATGTCAACCTGCTCTGAAGGGCAATAGTCATCCAAACTTGATCTGTAACAAGGAATTGAAAAAAACGTGAGAGAGTACTGGTAGCACCACCATCACCAGTTTGTATACTTGTAATGCTCTGTGTCTAGGCTGAAGCTACTTCCAACTGTGTTAAGTTCTGCCTCCAGTATCCCTTCAAAGTGTAGTGCCCTGCTTCTTCTCGTCACTTTCCACAGGACCAGTTTGCTGCAAGTTGAACAGAAAGTCTGGAGCAGATCAGGAATGTGACCCGTTCATCCTTCTGATTCTACCATCTTCCTGACTCTGACACAGAGCATGTTGGCCATCAAGGTTCAAACAAATGATCTCATTAAAGGACTGGTGGAAAGTTAAGACTGAAAAATTCAAATGCTACTAGTAAATCAGGTAGGAAAACTTGAAAAACAAATCTTCACAATCCCTGGGATCTAACTTTATTTATAGCATCTATTAGTGAACTGCAAACGGATACTAGTAAAAAAGCGGAGCTGACACTTCTTGGTTTTTAATTCTGTCAAATCTACATAAACAATTATGTATTTTCTCTGCAGCAGTGGATGATAACCCTGCAGCTGGCACAAGAAATACAGCTTTCTTTTATTGTAGGTATTAGCCATGCTGTTTCTTGTTGACAAAACCAATTTCATTTCAGCTTCTACTATTGTTGCCTGCCCTCTAAGGTCATGCTTAGTATTTTTGAAGTGATTAAATTACAACAATTTCTTAACAGGTACACTATGGTCTTCAAATGAAGTTCTCCCAGGACAGATCCCCGGTTCTTCCAGGTCTCCGACCCCAAACTCCATCCTGTTCTCCCAAATAATACCCTTACACTCATGGAAGCAGAACTTTTACCCCATACAAAGCTTTACTAGAGCTTTCCAGAATATAAATCCCTTTCAGCTTATTAGACAAAAACGACTTCCATCAGAAGTTTCACTGAAAAAGAGAAATTCCATCTGTCGTACAATAAACCCTACTGCAAGAGAGTAAGGAAGGTGTGATTTCAGCCCACGCAGGTTTGTCCAAGCTAGCTTTGCTCTAACTATCACAAGTAATAAAAATAGTGGAAATGTATGAACCCAGTAACAGCTATCAATCTCAACACACACAAGGCCTCATCACAGGCTTCACAGAGCCTGTGCTGGAGCTCATCAAGTCATCATGTTTTCACTGCTTTTGAAATCTGTGCTAGCTACTCTAAAGCCCAGTAAAACCAGCCAGCAGTGTAGAACCTTCCTTTAGTTGTGTAGGTACTGTCACTGCCTTATCATCAACATTTTCAAATGTCAATTTTCACTATACTGTTAGGCTTCCACTTCAAGACAGAATTTAAGATGTGTCAATCAGTGCTATATTGATAGAATTATTTAGCTTCGTAAGCACAGCCTGAGTGTTTTAAAGTATCTACATAGTCTTACCGAGCAACTGTCACGAGTGTGGGCTCAGGTATATCTTTTAGTAGAACTTTAATGGATTGCATGAGGCCTTCGATCTCCTCTTCAGTGCTAACATGGTGAGGAAGTTCCATATAATCACAGGTCAGACCAGCCTGATGGACCTACATGTAAATTAAACAGAGATTTACTTCTGTTGATGAATTATTGATATAGATTATGTGTAAAAAGGCTCTAAGATACCATCATGAGTCCAGTAGGTAACTTATACTTCTTCAGGCAGGTAGTGTTATTTTTCTGCAACTTGTTCTTTAAACAAAACAAATAAAATTCTGGAGGTTGTATGAATTGTTTCATTATCTCCAGTACACTGTACCCCTCCCATGAATTCAGAGTGTGCTGCAGCCCTTGAAGATGTTAGGTCTGATCTTTTACAAATAGGTACCTCAAGTTAAGTTCTATAAAGTATATCAACAGACCCAGGTGAAATGAAACCCTCCTTCACAGGAAGCAGCCTGAGATGTCGCAGTCCTAAAAGATCACATTAATGTTGCCTAAATATTAAACCAGAGCAGGATTTTAGAAGTTTTAAAAACAAAAGCTGGCCTAAGAAATGAGACATTAAACAAAAGGAAAACTACCAAAATTCTTGCTAAGTCCTGAATCAAGAAGCAAGTCTGAAATGACGCATGATCTTCTACCTCCCTGTTGAAGCTATGCTTTTGAAATCAGTCTATTTTCTGCTCTTTTACCTAGTCACCTACCATTTCATAGTCTGGGCTTTCCATCCTGGTTTTCAAACTGTGAACTAGCTGAACAAGTGGCTTCATTCTGGAGTTAAAACAGAACCAAAACTTGTTACATAAACAGTTGAAAAAAATACATATATTTACCTTAAGTGGTGAGAGAGAGAGAGAGAGAGAGAAGAAGTAGAAGTTATCATGGCCTAGTATTTGAAAATTAAACTTGCCTCTCTGTGTCATCCTGCACCTGAGAAAAATGGAAATTATCAGTACCACTGTACTGTTTCACCAGGTCTTTCTTAGAAAGCCCCTATACTCACACCTGCCTCTGGCAAGACCTCTTTGCACTTCTTCTAGGGCAGACCTGGACAGAAGCTGTTGTAGCTCAAAGTCATATGAACTTGCTAGGAAATGCTTGTGGTCACTGTTACACAGGTCTGGCAGTAACTGCTGCATTGGATGGGGGAAAACGAGTGATTTCCCTATCAAGGGAAAGCTCAGACTTCTGCTGTTTCTTTTCAGCTGAAAACATCTAGTTTAAAAGCATAAGCATAATGGACACTGCTGAGATGTTTTGTGGATGCTGTTGCTCACGTACAGCCTTTCTTTCACTTCATTTTTCCACAGAAAGCAGAACCTTTGGGAGCACCAAAGAAGTCATCCTCCATATCTTCCATAGTTTGTAACTTTTTTTGAGTGCTCTACTTCCCACAGATCACTAAATTTTTAGTCACCAAATGTGTCTGCCTCCACAGACAACGGAATTTGCATGAAGCTGTACAAGGCTCATCTTGGAAAGCTTAACATAGCACTGAGGAGAGCAGACTGCCTTTCCTTATTTTTGTCTGCCTCTTTCTCCTCTAGAACTAAAGGAAAAATGGCAGCCTTGCATAGATTCTACCCAGCCTCTCTCCTTTCCTGTTAGCAAAGTGCTGGGCTAATCAGTTCACAAACTACTGTTTGCATTTTAAGCCACTTAGAAATCTCCTACCCAGGATATGAAGCCCACTTCTGTAGGGTCTCTTCATCATCACTGTCACACAAATCTGCAAATGCTGCTTCCAGATCTTCCAGCTGATGAACACGGTTTTCAACACAATCCAGCAACCCTTCCTTTAAATAAGCACACATAAAAGTATGTTAGGAAAAAAAAAAAAAAGGTAAGAATGTCATGGCTTACTCTATGATTTAAATTCTGAAATGACTGATCTACTGGAAGCAGGGAATCCAAAACAACTGATTCATCACTACAGAATATCTTTTCAAGAGGATCAGAATGAATGCCTGATGAAGCTGTTATACCTTCAGAATAAATCACCTCTCTTTGCTCTGTCTTTCGCACAACAAATAAAAAAAAGCCACATCTACATTCTGACAGAATACACTGGGGAGAGCTAAGAAACTGTATATGAATAATTCTTGGATTTGTTTCTATAGCACTGAAATGCTCAGATGAGTACAAGCTTCACATTTTAAGATGAAAGGAGGATTTAATTTTAAGTTAAAAAAATATTATTAAATCAAATGCATTTTCAGAAAAACAAAACAAAATTTGATGTTTTGAGGCTCTTCCAACTCTGCGTGTCTAAAAAGGCATGGAATTAATTTAAAATGTCAGTTATTTCTCTGATCCTGCAAAGTTTTATGCCATTTCTTAAAAAGTTCAGAAGACATAAAGAGGAAATCTTCTTGGAGTGAGGATACATACATAAGTACAGTTGTGCATCCAAACATTTGCAGAAAGAGATCATACATAACATATCAAATGAAAAGCAGTGTGTGGCAAACTTGGTATTAAAAATGCTCAGTGCAGTGGTGTGTGAAGGAAATTAAAGAGCACTTTGGAATAGATGTAACAATTAAGAACAAAACAATTCCCTCTTAGGATTCTGCTGGCTGTATCATGTAAGAGATGGTGCTTCTCTTGGACGGTGG